GCTTAATTAAGCATTTTTGTATAAACGAACATATTGCTATTTATATACATACATACATACATGTATATATATAAAGACACACACACACACACACACACACACACACACACCACACACACACACACACACACACACACACATATATATATAATATATATATATATATATATATATATATATATACTATATATATATATATATATTATATATATATAAATGTGTGTCTGTGTGTGTGTATGCACACACACACAACACACACACACACCACACACACCACACACACACACACACACACACACACACACACACACACACACACAACAGATATACATATATATATAATATAATATAATTATATATATATATATTATAATATATGTATGTATATATATGTATATATATATTCATATATATGTTATATGTATTCATATTATATATATATATATTATATATATAAATATATATATATATATATATTATATATATATATATATATATATATATATATGTGTGTGTGTGTGTGTGTGTGTGTGTGTGTGTGTGTGTGTGTGTGTGTGTGTGTGTGTGTGTGTATGTATATACACATATCAATTCAAGACATCCTCAACCCAGCCAATTCTCCCTGAAAATCCTTGCACCGCGCATGGCCACGTGTTGCTCGCCCGCACTTGGTACAAAGCAGTGATATTGTCCAGCAGTGTACGTACACACACACCAGCTGATCAATACAGGCCACAGCAACAGCCATGTACACATCAACACACGCACATACATAGAGAATGTATATGTTCTTACATTCGTTTGATGTAGGTTAGGAAATACGTTCGTGTGAGTGTGTATGTGCTTAGGGAGCATGAGTGTAAATAATTTATAGACTTTCATACGAATAATGATTGGATTTATGCTTGGAAAAGGTTCACATGGCTGAACAAAATAAATAGATATATGTGAGCATATGATTTTTATGACAAAAAATCTCATGTTTTACGTAAAAGAATATGTATTGATTCATACATACATATCTATTATTATATTTATATCTATATCTATCTATCTATCTATCTATCTATCTATCTACTATCTATATATATATATATATACATATATATATATATAATATATATATATATATATATATAATATATATATATATATATATATATATATATATATTAACTGTTGATAGAAATCACTCTAATGTAGAATATACTTTTAATTTTAATTTATTTATAAATCAGGTTGAATAGAATATATCAGGTTTATAATGGGTATGTGGCATAATCTGAGGTAGAAAATAATGAATCTTATCTTCAAATTTACACTTGAACAGTTTACCGGTAAATTATAAAGCTATATTATAAAAAAAGGATATATAATATATAATATATTTAATATATATATATATATATATATATATATATATATATATATATATATATATATATATATAATATGCAATCTTCCGCTTTCAACTCTTACGTTTTATACCTGCCATTCCTTGCACACAGGTGGTATTTAGAAAGCAACCTTAGACAGACAGACTACCTGTCACACCAAGAATAACCATTATAATAAATGCTAAATTATTAAAAAATTATTCATTATTACTCTCTCTCTTCTCTCCTCTCTTCTCTCTCTCTTTCTTTCTCTCTCTCCCTTCTCTCCCTCTCTCTCTCTCCTCTCTCTCCCCCTCCCTCCCTCCCTCCCTTCCAACCCTCCCTCCCTCTCTCTCCCCCCCTCCCCCTCCTCCCTCCCTCCCTCTCCCTCCCCTCCCCTCCCTTCCTTCCCTCCCTCCCCTTCCCTCTCCCTCCCTTCCTCTCCCTCCTTCCTCCCTCTTCCCTCCTCCCTCCCTCCCTCCTCCTTCTCCCTCCCTCCTCCCTCCCTCCCTCCCTCTCCCCTCCCCCTTCCTCCCCCCTCCCTTCCTTCCTTCCCTCCTCCTTTCCTTCCCTCCCTCCTTCCCTCTCCCTCCCCTCTCCCTCTCGCTCCGTCTCCCTCTCCCTCTCCCTTCCCCTCCCTCCCTCCCTCTCCCTCCCTCTCCCTCCCTCTCCCTCCCTCTCCTCCCTCCTCTCTCTCTCTCTCCTTAACACATTCCCTCTATATCCAGGAGAACACGTACAAGAATTAATTTTAAACCGAGACGCTTAAAACCTCTCCTCTCTCTGTGTGTCCAGGGCAGTATGTACAACGCTGAGGACGTGGATGCCATGGTGGCGGCCACTGTAATCGAACAGGAAGCCCTCAGGAAGAAAGAGGAGGCGCTGTTCGACGACTTCCGCCCTGGGGAGAAGTCCAAGAAGAGGAAGGTCCTGATGGCTTAGTCTCCAGGAAGAGGAGGAAGAGGAGGAAGGAGAGGAAAGGATAGTAGGAGAAGGAAGAAGGAAGGAGGAAAGGAATGGGGAGAGAGGAAGGAGGAGGAAGAGAGGGAAAGGAAGGATAGTGGGGAAGAAGGAAGGGAAGGAAGGAGAAAAGAAGGAAGGGGTAGAGGAGGAGGAGGGGAAGAGGAGGAGGAAAGGATAGTGGGGGAAGAAGAGAGAAAGAAGGAGGGGGGGAATGGAGGAGGGGTTAAGAGGGAGGGGAGGAGGAGGGGGAGCAAGGGAAGGGTGGAAAAGAAGGAGGGAGAGAGAGGAGGAAGAAGGAGAAAGAGACAATGAGGAGGAAGAGGAAGAGAGAGGGGGGGGGTGGAAGGAGGACGAAAAAGAATAAAGGGAGGAGAAGGGATATGTTTTGGAGAATCAGAAGGAAGGAGAAGAAAGTGGGAAGGAGAATAAAGAAAAGCAAGCGAAGAGAAGCAGAGAGGAAAAAAACAGTCACGAATATGAGATGAAAAAGAAAAGAGTAAAAAGATACTGATAAGTAAGAAAATAATAAATAACGGGAAGAAAAAGATATGCATAAGAACATATACACAAATTCTAAAAAAAAAAAAAGATAATAATAAACGGGTAAATATTTTATATGGATTTCATTGAGAAATTAATGTAATGATGTTAAACTGAATGCAAAAATAAATAAAAAGATTAATCAGAGTTTTTATCTAGTTACATAGAAATCAGAGGATAATGAACAATTGGCATAAAAAATAATATCTCTTTCTATCAATAAATTTGGTGATCTGTCCATGTTTTCGTTTTTATACCAGTTCCCCTTTAAATCGTATTAAAAAAAGATCAACAAATAAAATAAATAAAAGTAAACAAAGACAAATAAATCTTAAAAACCAAAAACAAAAAAAAAAAATAATAAAAAGATCAACAATAAAATCAAACAAAAACAAGTAAAAAATCAACAAATAAAAGAAAATAAAAGAAATAAATCTTTAAAAAAACATCACCCCAAGAAGCCAAGAAATCAGTCAAACAAACCAAAAATAACAAATAAAATCAACAACAACAACAACAACAAAATGAAAACAAATATTTAATTTAAAGTTTACCTAACACAAAATAATAAAAAAAGAAAAGGAAAAAAAAATACAAATAAATCTCTTTTTTTTTTCTTAATTCACCTCACGCACAAAACGAATAAAAGAGATATATAAAACAAAATAAAAACAAATAGATCTTTTAAAAATCACCTCATACAACAAAGAAAATAATGAACAAAAATCAACAAATAAGATGAGAAAAACAAATATGAAAAAAATCCTCTAACACAAAATAATAAATAAAAAGCAACAAATAAAAACAAATAAACAAAACGTACCAAACACTCACAAAAAAAATAAATAAATAGAAAAAAATAAAAAATAAAAATAAAACAAATAAATAAAAACAAAATAATGAATAAAAAAACAAACAAATAAAATAAAATGAAAACAGATAAACCTTTAAAAATAATGAATAAAAAAGATAAATAAAACAAAATAAAAACGAATAGATCTTTAAAAAAATAAACTTTACAAAAAACGAAACCAAACACAAAAATAATAATAAAAAATAATAAATAGAATAAAACAATAACAAATAAATCTTAAAAAAAAAGAATTGACCTCACACAGCCACACGAAACGCACCATACACAAAATAATTAATAAAAAGATAAAATAAAATAAAAACAGATAAATCCTCTAAAACAATGAATAAAAAAGACAAAATAAAACCAAAATAAAAACAAATAAACCTTTTAAAAAAACATTTACCTCACGAAGCCACACGAAATGCCCGCCCAGTGAACAGCTGTCACTCTTAACGCTGTGATGAGGGCTCGACGTTGGCCAAGAAATTGGGGTAATTGCATTCCTAGGGAGTAACACCCCGCGCCCTCTCGCATTTCGCCCACCGCCCCTCTGAGGACTTCTGCGCCCCGGGGAATGCGTGAGGAAGGGGGGGAAGGGTTGGGGAAGGGTGGATACGTTATACTTGGGAAGGGAGGTTGGGGATGGGGTGGGGGGAGGGTGGATACGTGTATACTTACATAGGCATATATTCGCTTTCGTTCGGTCTCTCTCTCGCTCTTTCTCTTTCACTTTCTCTGGTTTGCTCGCTCTCTGGTTCTTTCTCTTTCTCTTCTCTCTTCTCTCTCTCTCTCTCTCTCTCTCTCTCAGAGACTCTCTCTCCTCTCTCTTCTCTCTCTCTCTCTCTCTCTCTCTCTATTCCGTCATTAATTCTCATTTGTCTGTATCTTTATAATTAT